ACCTACAAAACTCAAAGAAGGGAAACACACAAACACTACCACCAAAAAAATAAATAACTGGAGTTAACAACCACTGGTCATTAATATCGCTTAATATCAATGGACTCAATTCACCTATAAAAAGGCACAGGTTAAGAGAATGGATACAAAAACAGGATTCAGCATTCTGCTGTTTACAAGAAACACACCTCACCCTCGAAGACAGACACTACCTCAGAGTAAAGGGTTGGGAAAAGGTTTTTCAATCAAACAGACCTAAAAACAAGTGTGTGTGACTATCCTAATATCTAACAAAATTGATTTCAAATAAAAATCAATCAGAAGAGTTGGAGAAGGACACTTTATACTCATAATAGGAACAATTCATCAAGATGAAGTCAATCCTGAATATCTATGTCCCTAAAATAAAAGCACCCAGATATGTAAAAAAAAAGTTACTAAAACTAAAATCACACATCAAACCCCACACACTAAGAGTGGGAGATTTCAGATTTCAACACTCCTCTCTCACCAATGGACAGATCAACCAGACAAAAACTTAGCAAAGAAATAAGAGAACTAACAGATGTAATGAATCAAATTGGCTTAACAGACATCTATAGAACATTCCAACCAAATAGGAAAGAATATACCTTCTTCTCAGCATCTCATGGAACCTTCTCAAAAATTGATCACATAATCGGTAACAAAGCAAACTTCCACAGATCCAAAAAACTGGAGTAACCACCTGTGTCTTTCAGATCACCATGGAGTAAAGTTAGAATTTAACAACAATTCTACCCCCAGAAAGTCTACAAACTCATGGAAACTGAACAGTCAACTACTGAACCTCCCCTGGGACAAGGAAGTAATAAAGAAAGAAAATAATTTCTTCCTTGAATTCAATGAAATAGAAGACACAAGGTACCCAAACCTATCGGAAACTATGAAAGCAGTGCTAAAATGAAAGTTTATAGCACTAAGTGCCCACATAAAGAAAACAGAGAAAGCACACATTAGAGACTTACAGCACACCTGAAAACTCTAGGAAAGAAAAAAAAAAGAAGCAGTCTCCCTCAGGAGGAGGAAAAGACTGGAAATAATCAAACTGAGGGCTGAAATCAACAAAATAGAAACTCAGAAAATAATCCAAAGAATCAATGAAACAAAAAGCTGATTCTTGGAGAAAATCAACAAGATTGACAAACCCCTAGCCAAACTAATCAAACGGCAGAGAGAGAACACACAAATTAACAAGATCAGAAATGAAAAGGGGGACATAACAACAGACACTGAGGAAATTCAGACAATCATTAGATCTTACTACAAAAACTTCTATGCCATAAAATTGGAAAATGTAAAAGAAATGGATATTTCTTAGATAAATACCATATACCAAAATTAAATCAAGACCAGGTGAACAATTTAAATCAATCTATAAGTCGCAAGGAAATAGAAGCTGTCATCAAAAACCTCCCAACCAAAAAAAGCCCAGGACCAGACAGTTTTAATGCAGAATTTTACCAGAATTTCCAAAAAGACCTAATACCTATACTCCTTAATTTGTTCCACATAATAGAAACAGAAGAGTCATTGCCAAATTCTTATTATAAAGCTACAGTTACCCTGATACCAAAACCACACAAAGACTCTTCCAAGAAAGTAAATAGCAGACTAATCTTACTCATTATCATTGATGCAAAAATTCTCAATAAAATTCTGGCTAACTGAATCCAAGAACACATAAAAAAATCATCCATTATGATCAAGCAGGCTTCACCCCAGAGATGCAAAGCTGGTTCAACATATGAAAATCTATCAATGTAATTCATCATATAAATAAACTGAAAGAAAAAAAAGCCATATGATCATTTCATTAGATGCCAAAAAAGCATTTGACAAAATTCAACACCCATTTATGATAAAGGTCTTGGAGAGATTAGGGATACAAGGATCATATCTAAATATAATAAAAGCAATATACAGCAAGCTGACCACTAACATTGAATTAAATGGAGAGAAACTCAAATCCATTCCATTAAACAGGAACAAGACAAGGCAGTCCACTCTCTCCTTATCTCTTCAATATAGTGCTTGAAGTTCTAGCAATAGCAATAAGACAACATAAGGAGATCAAGGGGATTCAAATTGGGAAGGAAGAAGTCAAACTTTCGTTATTTGAAGATGATATGATAGTATACATAAGTGACCCCCAAAACTCTACCAAGAACTCCTACAGCTGATAAATACCTTCAGTGATGTGTCAGAATACAAGATCAACTCCAAAAAAATCAATTGCCCTCCTATACACAAAGGATAAAGAAGCAGAGAAGGAAATCAGAGAAACATCACCTATCACGATAGCCACAAATAGCATAAAATATCTTGGGGTAACACTAATCAAGGAAGTGAAAGATCTATTTGACAAGAACTTTAAGTCTTTGAAGAGAGAAAGTGAGCTCCCAAGGTCCAGTTGTAGAACAGAAGCAGGGAGAATATGAGCAAGAAAGTCAGGACCACAAGGGGTTGGTCCATCCCCTGAGATAGTATGCCTGAGCTAAGGGAAGCTAACAGTGAGGTTACACTTGACTTTTAGATCTATGAGTAGGATTTAGACACTGACTAATATCTTATCAATTTGTTTTATATTCATTGCTAATGATGCATGACTTTGTCCATTTCATTATTTTATGATTTTCTTTTTTAGTACCGTTAGAGAGAGCTTCTTGCTGTTTATCCTAGACTGTCATTGAACTCACTATGCTAACAAGGCTGTCCTTACACTCCTTGGCAGTCCTACTCTCTCTGTGGTTTTATTGATGGGATTACAAATACATATCACTCTATTTTTTGTATTTTTAATCTGTGGAGTATAATATAGTATAAGAAATCAATTGCTAAAATTTTAAAGGAAAATAATCAATTATCTCCATCATTGGATGCTTTTAAATTTGGATTAGACTGCCCTGAACTGATTCACCATTCCTTATACCTCAATGAGCAACCGATATTCTCTTTTCAGGCAGTGTAACCTATACCATGATATAGGTATTCATTTCTACTTCTTTATTTGTTTGTAAAATCACAGTATGGTTACAGTCATATTTCTGGTGAGTTAAAATAATCAAATATCTTTATTAATGGTTATACTTACAATGAATTAGACTTTCCTGATATAATTCACCATTCTTTACAACTCAATGAATAACTGATACTCTCTTTTTAATAAGTATCAACTACAGCATAATATTGGTGTTCATTTATTCTTCTGTCTTTTTTATTTTTATTTTGATATTTATTGAGCTCTACATTTTTCTCTGCTTCCCTCCCTGACTCTCCCTCCCCTTTAGCCCTCTTCCATAGTCCCCATGCTCCCAATTTACTTAGGAGATCTTGTCTTTTTATACTTTCTACTTCCCATGTAGATTAGATCTATGTAAGTCTCTCTTAGTGTCCTTATTGTTATCTAAGTTCTCTGGGATTGTGGTTTGTAGGCTGGCTTTCTATGCTTTGTGTTTAAAAGCCACCTATGAGTGAGTACATGCGATAATTGTCTTTCTGGGTCTGGGTTACCTCACTCAAAATAATGTTTTCTAGCTCCATCCATTTTCCTAAAAATTTCAAGCTGTCATTATTTTTTTCTGCTGTGTAGTACTCCATTGTGTAAATGTACCGCATTTTTCTTGTCCATTCTTCAGTCAAGGGGCATTTAGGTTGTTTCCAGGTTCTGGCTATTACAAACAAAGCTGCTATGAACATAGTTGAGCACATGTCCTTGTTGCATGATTGAGCATCCTTTGGATATATACCCAAAAGTGATATTACTGGGTCTTGAGGAAGGTTGTTTCCTAATTTTCTGAGAAATCACCACACTGACATCCAAAGGAGTTGTACCAGCTTCCATTTCCATCAGCAATGCAAAAGTGTTCCCTTTTCCCCACAACCTCTCCAGCATAAGTTGTCATCAGTGTTTTTGATCTTGGTCATTCTTACAGGTGTAAGATGGAATCTCAGAATTGTTTTGATTTGCATTTCTCTAAGAATGTTGAACATTTCTTTAAGTGTCTTTCAGCCATTTTAGATTCCTCTGTTGAGAGTTTTCTGTTTAGGTCTGTACTCTATTTTTTTTATTGGACTATGTGTTCTTTTGGTGTCCAATTTCTTGAGTTCTTCATATATTTTGGAGATCAGACCTCTGTTTGATGTGAGGTTAGTGAAGATCTTTTTCCCATTGTGTAGGCTGTTGTTTTGTCTTGTTGACCATGTCCTTTGCTTTACAGAAGCTTCTCGTTTTCAGGAGGTCCCATTTATTAATTGTTTCTCTCACTGTCTGCGCTGCTGGATTTCAATTTGAGGAAGTGGTTCTCTGTGCCAATGCATTCAAGTGTACTTCCCACGTTCTCTTATATGAGGTTCTGTGTGGTTGGCTTTATGTTGAAATCACTGATTCATTTGGACTTGAGTTTTGTGCATTGTAATAGATATGGGTCTATTTTCATTCTTCTACATGTTGATACCTAATTATGCAAGCACCACTTGTTAAATATGCTTGCTTTTTTCAATTTGATATTTTTTGCTTCTTTGTCAAAGATCGGGTGTTCGAAGATGTGTGGATTGATATCCGGGTCTTTTCCATTGGTCCTCCTGTCTGTTCTTATGCCAATACCACGTGTTTTCAGTACTGTAGCTTTGTAGTAGAGTTTGAAGTCAGGGATTGTGATGCCTCTAGAAGTTCTTTTATTGTACAAGATTGTTTTGGCTATCCTGAAATTTTTGCTATATCATATGACATTGAGTACCATTCTTTTGAGGTCTGTGAAAAATTTTTCTGGGATTTTGATGGGCATTGTGTTGAATCTGTGTTCATTTCTATTTCTTTGCGTGTAAAATGTTCATGTGAATAAATAAGATTAAAAAGTGACCAACAGAAAACTTTGGGGGAAGCTATAATATTTGTATTTGCAAAGGTTATCTCATTGTTGAAGAGTACCCCTGGTCATTTCATCAATGAAGACACTCACCTTGGAACAAGTTGAACCTTTTAGTCAGCCCATTGAGGGCAAGGGCATAGAGTTCTGGTTTCCTAGCCAGGGGCTTGCTCAGTTGCATTGACTCACTCCTGCAAGGAGAAGAAAATATTGACTTCCACGGTGCTAAATATAACATCACAGTGATTGGGGAAAACCTCACTTAGGTCAGCCAAATGGCTCAGGCAATAAATCCCTTGATACACAAAAATGATAACTTGAGTTTATTCCTTCATGGAAGGAGAGCACTATACCCTCAAAGTTGCCTTCTGACCTCCACACACGTGCAATGGCGCTTGTGCATTCACATGAACACACATTCACACACACACACACACATCAATATATCAAATCAAATAAAAATATCCCAAACACACCATACACAAACAATTGAGTATCTTCTATATAAAATATATCTGCACTTTGCTAAGGCACCTTACTCAATTTTATAGCATGTTTCAGAATATCATGACTTGCACTGAAAGGTAAACTCACCTTCTGAATATGTCATCCAAATCCTGCAAAAAGAAAAGCAAGAAAAATTTAGATTACTGAAGAAATGACATACAAGATTTATTTACAAAGTTCGGATAAATGTCAATCACCATAACAATACAATGACCATCCCTATGTGCCCTGAAATTTTATGTCTCAGGATAATGCCAATGAGAGTGATTAGCAGAATTTGAATTCTTGATGAAATCAGACGATAAGAACAAAATTTGAGTACCTTGGTATTAAATGTACATTGCTTTTGAGCCCCCAAGTATCTGCAAAGTTAATATTATAAAGTAGAGGGATACTTTAACTAAGGGTACTTCAGAAGTATGACGTCACAGCTGCATGGTGCCTTGTGCCTGTAATTCTAGAATTGGGGGATTAGAGGCTTGATTACGGTCAATTGGAGGTTAACATACACCACAGAATAGGATTGCATCTCAAAATACAAATCTCTCAAAGAACTCTCAAAAACACAGCTTTCAAACAGAAGAAATTAAGAAGAAATTAGTATTCTCTAAAATTATTCAAATAGTCAAGTAGAGATAAGACAGAAAGCTCAGAATTTGACTTTCTGAAAAGAAAGCTACAAAACCAACCTATCAGGACATATTCCTGGGGGAATCTACTGACACTGTTTTCAAATGTGTATTCTTGCAAGATATTATTACAGAATTTAGTGTCTCAAGATATTCATGAAAGGGAAACCCCCTAACAAAAATTCGGGGAATATTGGAAGCTATCTTAAATCAGTGTTGGCTTAAGGCAATAAAGCCTTTTCCTGCACACCTCATACTCACCTGGAGCAGTACCACATATGGCTCCTGGGACATCGCCATCAGCTCTCGATACACTTCTCTTAATTGTTTGCTTTTTTGGACCATCATGGCTTCACTTTTTGCAAGTTTCTCTAAACAATAATTGGCTTCTTTTTTCATACACTCAATATGTTCTTCTTCCTGTTTACTGGGGAGTGGATACCATCTCCTGTACTTTGCCCTTATCATTTCTTCCTTTACAATCAAGCGGATCTGAAAAAGGGGACATTATCAATTATGGTAGCAAATATTTTATCCTATTCCATTGCATCCTTCTACACTTAAATTCGACGAATGATTTATATCACTGTGCTCATAGACTCTGGTGGGCTGCCACCACTTATCAGATAATGTAAATTCCTGGGTTTCATTTTTTTCTTCTTCATTAATTACACAGACAACCAAATCCTAAGCATTTTGCCTATATAAGAGTTCCAGGGTGCCTGAAGATACTTATTGATAATTCATATTTTACTCAAATATGAAACTCTGCATGTAGCAATTACAATTCACAGTACAGTCCTAGAGTCTAATGCAGCATGCTGAACTGTCAGAAATTCGCCTATTAGCCTCAGACTCTTCTGCCACACAGCCAAACCATTATTTCCATGTGCAGAGGTATATTTTACTCTCAGAATTAGAGATCATCAGAAAATGTTTTCCTTTTATCACATCCTATGTCTTATACTCGAATCTTGAATGATGATTTTCAAAAATATCTGCCTCAACCACAATTTCTGCATGAATCTCATACTCACCTTCCACAGAGTTATCAATCTTTTCTCTGCCTCCAGATTCTCTTCATTTTCTTGGATCTTCTCCCATAATGATTCCATTTGCTTCAGAAGTCTTTCCTGTAAGAAACAATGAATATCAAATTTTGATAAACATTAATGATGAACAGACTCATGGACAATAAATACAATAACTTTAGAGAAAGTAGAAGGACCACAATGATTTTTTTTCTACATCACAACCGAGAGATTTAGATTTAAGAACATAGAAATAGAAAAAAAATGCCTTTTGCTCAGGAAAAATGATTAATAACTATGACTAATATCTGACAAATTTGCATACAATTGGGATTCCCAGATGTTTCTCTCTAGGTGACTCAAAAATACTTTTTCCAATTTAGTCTCTAGTCTCAGATAATTTAAGTATATTAATAATTATATATTAGTATATATTAGCATTTCACTTCCCAGAGACTTAGGTATAATGTATCACAAAATACAAGTGATCTTTACACTCATAGGTCTTCTAAGAGATGTTTACATTTGTAGTCACTCTTTCTTCAGTAGCTTTTAATAAAATTCCACCACTCAGAAAACAGTGGCTTTATAATAATCAAGACCAGCATCTTCCTGCTGTCCACTGAGCCTCTCTCTTAAGTTTTCACGTTCTCTCAGAAGCATCACTTACCATTTGACCCTCAGCAGCTGCTTCAATGGGACAGTGTCTGTGACCTCTGTGCTCATGGGAGTCAGAGCAGAGTCGACAGAGGTAGATGCTGTTCTCCATACAGAAGATTCTCTTGGTCTCCTTGTGGGTCACACACTGTTGCTCCTCAGAGCTCAGGTACTTCACGAGGCTGGCTTGTCTGGCAATGGACACCAGCTTCTTCAGAACAATGTTGGTTCTGAAATCCTTCTGCTGGGATGGCTCCCTACATATAGAGCAATGGACAGGAACCTGGCTGTCTTCCCAGAAAAGGTGGAGGCAGGCTCGACAGAAGCTGTGGCCACAGCTTATGGTGACTGGGTCTGTAAGGTAGCTCATGCAGATGAAGCAGGTGAGTTCTTCCTGGAAGGCTTGTGAGAGGTCTGACTCCATTTTTCTGAAGGAAGAAAAGCAGAATAGTTATTATTGGACCCCAGAGAAGGAAGAAACTGCACAAATTTTGATTCAAGTTGTGATTTGGTTCTGTGTAGGTCAAAACAGGCCATGACAAAATTTCAAGTTAAGTATAAGATTACAGTTACTAATATTTCTCTTCTTGACATAAATACAAATTGATCTGATAACCTGTGCTCCAACATCTGCATCTTTTTTTGGAGACTCCATTAAGTTGGTATATTAATTAAATTTGCTACATAACAGGCTCTCTCAGTGATTATGAAAAATATACACAGGAGTGAACACACTCCTTCAATTAATTCTATGTGTTCGTCTTTCACTCCAGATATATATATATATATATATATATGTAATGTTATGTTATTATATATAATATTATATATAATTTTAAACACCTCATTTTTTGTCTTTCCGAGAAAATACTCCCTACTTCACAAAATACCTAGTAAATAATTTGCTTTGATTTTTTATTTTAGCATGTTATTCATTCATATCCCATTTTCCCATCCCTTGATACACGAAGCCAATATTAATTACTTGTCTTCCTTCTGCTGCAAATACCTAACATGAATAAGAATTTATTTTGATGCATAATTCAAAAAAACACTGTCCATCATGGTGGGGAATAAATGGTGGCGGGAGTTTTAGATACGCGGTCTTACGGCCTCGAACATCAGGAAACAGAAAGCAAGCAACGCTTATTATTCAACTCCTCCTCCCTCTTTTTTCAGTTTGAGACCTCTAACCACGGAATTATGAAGTGATCTCATAAGTGTTTAGTGGGGTTCTTACAAATGGCGGTGAATCTATCCCAAATATTTCTTCACAGACATGCCCAGAGGTTTCCATGTCTATATTAAAGCCCATTGAGTCGAATTCTAGGGATCTCTCTGGGGAGACTTGTATGCTTACCAAGGATACAATTCCTGCTTGAGTTTATAGGATGAATCCTAGAGGCATGAATGAAGCTCTCATGACTATTTGAATCTTGGCTATCTAATCAAGATGTGCCCATTCCCCTTCTCTTTGAATATCTACACAAATCAAGAATCTTGCGTTGAATGAGGCAAATATTCCAAAATAACTTAAGCGTCCAGGTTCTAAAGCAAATAGAGTCAGTGGCTTTAGTTGGTTGTCCTGTGTGTCTCAAAAACCAGGACTCATACTCATTGTAGAGATTAATTTAGAAGAGACTGTGATTCCAATGCTGCCTTGCTTAACTGATGATCATCCTTCAGAATTTTATGCACTATAGCAAGTACTTCAATCCAAAATAATTTATAAGCACACAGATATAATGAAAAATGAACACAAAATTGAAAAATTGTCCCAGATTTTAACACGACTCTGTTTTCATGAATAGACTAGTGTGATGAGTTTTCTTTATGACATTAGAGAAATAAATCACATGTATAATTACAAATTTATAAATCGATCACTAGCAGGAAAAGCCACTTCTTTCAAGATGGTAAACTCTAACAAGCATTATTTTATACTATGGTATCTTCCTATAGTTTATAACAGAAAAAATACAAAAAAAACTTAACTAAATCTTGAGTTTCCACTTTTATGAATAACATTTATAAAAATATCTCTAAATACTAGTAATTTTCAATCCATTCATAATATTTAATTTTTATATACTATATGTGTACACTTAATTTAGAGGTATTGATATATCATGCGCCTATTACGTACATACAAAAAGGCTCTAAAAATAGTCTTAGAATTTGGACAACGATCAAAATTGAAAAGTTGCACCTAAGCACCTCTGAGCATAATACCTCATGACAACAACAACAAAAAAACTGTGTAAGGATAAATCTAAAATTATCTATCCCTGTAACTCATATTACATGACCAAATGTGAGCATAATCTTTCAGGAATCTCACCTTGGTAACAAATTTTTAAAAAATGAAATATCCTGCTGTAGACTGTACACTCACCCAAGGAATTGTCTCTGGCCTCAGCAGTGCTTACTGGGGACAATACAATATTAGCTCAGCTCTGCGGTCGGATCCTTATTGTGGAGGGCGGTAGATCTAGCAGTCTCTGGAGCCAGAATGTACAGAAACACACTCTGCCTCGTTCTGGTGAAGAATGGAACTGGCTGGGCCCTGGAGTGTCCTTATATAGTCTCTAAGGACCACACCCACTTCCTCCCATGATTGGTTTTATTAATGCTTCCAATGGGTGACCTTCTGTGAGTAGCAGTATTCTAAATGGATGGAAGATTGAATTAACTCTGTGTTAGTTAATGTTAAGGCAGTAGGAGTTTTAGTTCAAGGCCTGCCTATGATACACAGTGAGAACCTACTATAGAAAAGTTATCAATTTTTATATATTTCACTGTATGTTAATATTTTGAAATTGTTTTTACTTTCCTCTAGTTAGTATAACAAATGATGATGTCATCAATCTGTGAATTTAGCAAATATCAACTTTAAAAAATTCGTAATAATTTTTTGAGATTTTGTACACTTGTTTTGATCATATTCACCTCAAATGCAAGTCCTTCCACATCCTTCCCCTTTCCTACACACTCAACTTTATCTTTTTTAACAAAACAAAATAAAAATCATTCCATATACATCATTCTAACTCAGTTTCAATGGGGTATAGTGACATCAGACTCCAAATATGCCAAGCTCAGGCTGCCTAAAGTTCAAATTAACCAACCAGAGAACTGTGTGGAAATTCAGGTGTGAAGCAGTTCAGAACCTGCAAAATTTGATTTTAGACTGGATTTTTCAGTGTAACCTTGACTTTCCTGAAACTGATTCTATAGATCAGGCTGGCCTAGAACACACAGAGGTCTGCCTATATGTGTTTCTGAAGTGCTGGGATTAAAGGTGTGTGTCACACTACCAGCTAGAATCTGCCAGATCTCAGCCAGGTACTATTGATTGCTTTGCACCTGGAGTCATCCTTTATTTCTAATATGTTGCTAGTTGAAGTCAACTTACATCATTTTCTCCCTCTATTACTTTTACACATCCTTTTTCTAGGGCGGCACCAGAAGGTGTAGCCAAATATGTAAGGTAAACTCTCATACTTCAAAAGATCAGGATTTATGTGGTTCTGTTCATTTTAAATGATTCGACCAAGAAAAACCACTTGGCAGGGCGTGGCAGCACACACCTTTAACCCCAGCAGCTGGGAGGGAGAGGCAGGATGATCTTTATCAGTGTGAGGCCAGCCTGGTCTACAGAGAGAGTTCTTGGACAGCTGATATACAGAGAAAGCCTGCCTTGAAAAAGTAAAGAAGAAAACAAGCAAACAAACAAAAAATAAGCAAAGATAAAAAAAAAATATCCCACACAAAACTGTCACCAGAAGGTGTGGTGGAAATTTAGCTCCAAAGATTAGAATTTAGGTAAATCTGTCAACTTCAAGTGATTTGATCAAGAAAAATCCCTCAAGGTTCCCAGTAAAAATTAAAAAAAATAAAATAAAATAAAATAAAAAAATTTTAAAAAATAATAAAAAAAGAAAAGAAAACGCTTTACTGAGTCAGGTAAGCCAGACCCAAAAAGAGGAATATGGTATGTATTCGCTCATAAATGGATTCTAGCCATAATTAAAAGTCTTTGAGCCTATTATTCGTGATCCTAGAGAAGCTGGATAGGAGGGTGAACCTGAAGAAAATTCAGGTAGTTTTCCTCCTGGAGATTGGAAATAGACAAGAGTCCCAGGTAACCTCGGGTGCATGGGGGGGTAGGAGGGTTGTTGGAAGGGGAGAAGGTTTAGAGAGAAGGGAGCAGGGGAGGAATGGGGAATGCTCGGGGGACTGGGAGGGGAGGAGGGTGGAAGGATAGATATGGGATCAGGGAAGAATATATCTCAACTAAGGGAGTCAGTTTAGGGTTTACTAGAGACTTGATTATAAATGGGATCCCAGGTCCAAGGAGAAATCCCCAGATTGTTCTCTGGACAGAGGAGAGGGTGCCTGAACTGGCCTTGACCCATAACCATACTGATGAATATTTTGCTTATCACCATAGATCCTTCATCTGGCGATGGATGGAGATGGAGACGGAGACCCACATTGGAACACTGGACTTGACTCCCTAGGTCCAAACGAGAAGCAGAAGGAAAGAGAACGTGAGCAAGGAAGGCAAGATCAGAGGGAACCTTCATCCGACGATGGATGGCGATACAGACGGAGACCCACATTGGAGCACCGGAAGGAGTCCCCCAAGGTCCAAACGAGGAGCAGAAGAAGGAAGAACATGAAAAAGGAAATCAGGACGATGAGGGGTGCGATCACCCACTGATACAAGGGGACTGATCTAATGAGAGTTCACCAAGGCCAATAGGACTGGGACTGAACGAGCACGTGATCCAGCCAGATTCTCTGAATGTGGCTGGCCCGGAGTCTTTCTGAAAAGCCATTGACAATGACACTGGGACTTGTTTCCTCTGCATATACTGGATTTCTGGGATCCAGTCTGTTTGGATGCTCACTTTCCTGGACCTGGAGGGAAGGGGGAGGAGCTTGAACTACCCACAGGGCGGGAGACCCTGACTGCTCTTGGGGATGGCGAGGGAGGAGGGGAGGTAGTGGGGGGAGTGGGAGGGGGTTGGGAGGAGGGGGGAAATGGAGACTTTTGTATTTTAATAAACTTTGAGAAAAAAAAAAGAAAGAAAGAAAAAGAAAAATCCCTCAAAAGAAAAGTCACAGCTTCTTGGGTTTTAGTTAATTCTGTATATAGTCAAATCACAACCAAGAATAGTCATCTCAAGTGCTCACCACACTGTATTGTGTAAACAGTAAGTGATCTCATCCCTGATAGAGGTTATTTCTTGGTCTACTGGTGAATCTCTTCAAAAATTTCTCACTTCTACACGTCATTGTTCTGTTCTGATTTATGAAGCCATTTTTAGGAAAGAATTTCACAGCAGACTTCCTGGTATTCTGGCTCTAATCAACTTTCTGACCACTCTTCCACAATGATTCTTGAACCGTTGATGC